TCAACAATTCTACAGCTATTACGATAATGACAAATAGAGATTAAACGAGAAAAGACTCATTATAGTCGAATGTTGACCGTCGATTGATCGTTTTGTTTTTTTGCATAAGTAACATTTTAGTTAAATAATGGAGTGGTGGTTGAATTCTTTCTTGGACATATTTCCTTTACCAATTCTTATTGGAATGTTCATATGGACTTTTTCAATGTGTCTTTTTTCTCTTTTTTTACTTTTCATTTTTATTTTATTTGATAAACGGTTTGTTTGATTTAAATCTCAATAAAATAAATATTTTTATTTTATTTATTTATTTATTTATTTATAGTTCATTACCATTAGCTGAATTAGTTTCAGTTAAAGAATTTTCAAATATTGAAACAAATCGAAAAAGTCGATTTAGTTGTGATAGTTTATCATTAATGTCATGTGAAACAACAAAAAATGATATTGAACAAACAATAAGTTCATTTTATTTAAGAAATAGTTATTTTTTAAATGAAAATGATAAAATAAATTCATTACCATCAATTAAATTATGTCCAATTATAAATGAAAATCGACAAATAAATACATTACCACAATTATCAACACGTCGATCAATAATAAGAGATTTAACTTCAGTTTCAAATTCATTTAATGACAATAAAATTCATCAATCAGTTGATTCACTTTTTTCAAAAGATTCACTTATTGAATAATTTGTATAAAGTTTTTTTTTTTCTTTTTTCTCATTTTATCAAATAGATTTAACATTTGTTTGTTCATTTTAAAATAATCAATTTAATTCAATTCAATTTTTCTTATTTTTCTTATTTAGATAAATCAACCGAATTCACTACATTGATAAAATTAACCAATACATTTTATCAAACATTTCTTCTTATGTATTCAATTTTTGATATACTTATCAAAATTTTACTTTTCATACTCTCAATGTGCCTTTTTTTATATAAAAACAAATACAAATTTGAATAAACTATATTATTCAAAAAATGTCCAACTATAGAAGATAATCATTTGAAATATTGTGTTCATATTCTCTCATTTTATTTAGCATTTATTAAATTTTTACAATATATTTTATTTAACATTTTTCAAATAAATTTATTTAAAATAAAAGTCATTTTTAACCAAGCTCAGATCAAAAATCGATTATAATAATCAAAGCAAACAACTTTAAACTTATTAATAAATAATTCTCTCAAATAAAATCTCTGATTTATAAATGACTAAGCAAATATCCTATGTTGTAGAGCAAGTCGAAATCTACAATATTTTTTATAGAATATATTATTTTCATAAGATTTTCAACGAACTATAATCAATTTACTGATAAACGATTGTGCACACAAAGCATCATCATTTATTCGTCATTGTCATCCAACATAATTAACATCTTCAATTATCCGATTTTCAATAGGAGAAAAAGTGATTTTTCATGATCTACCGTTATTTTTGACTAATCGTCAGCAGAGTTGGAACCGAACAGGTTTTTTCTGTCCGGTCCGGCCTGCAACCGGCCGGACGAATTTTACAGTCAAACTGGCAAAAATCCGGCGAAAATAACCGACCATAAAAGTATCTGTTCACATAAAATGTTGGCGAAGGGGGAATTGAATATTCACATGCAGAAATCTGAACTAGGGGTGATCAATTTACATTTACGAAAAATTTATAAATCCAAAAATAAATTTTAAAAGCTTTATTTTGAATTTAAATTGGATTTACATAAATTTAAATTTTGTAAAATTATTTAAATTTATGTAAATCGAATTTAAAATTATAATAAATTAACAGCAGATCGCCACTCCTAATCCGAACTGGAAATGAAAATTGGAACTGAAACTCACCCTTCATATTTTATAGCAAGGTGCGTCAACTTGCCGAGCCCAACATCGATATAAATTAGCTATTCAGATCAAATCTGTTTTTCATCTTAATTTCAAAAAAAGAAAAAAAAAAGCAAGTTTATAACAAATCTAACGCAAAAACGTAAATATTTATTTTTCTTGATTCAGGCAGCTGCCTAAATAGAAGAGAATAAATTATTTGATCAAGATTAAACTGATTAATACACGAGAAAGAAATCGATAGAGATATAAAGAGAACAATCAATCGTTTATAGTCAAGTTGAAGATAAGATATCTGTTGAGTTTTTCTCAAATACATTCTTCTGACTTGAAAATATCATAAAAAAGCCGTTTTCAGTAGAGAAAATTCTTGGGTGAAAACAACAATTTTGTAATGATGAACTGGCAAAAATCCGGTCCTGTCCGGCCCGGTTCGGAACCGGATTGCCGGACCGGTTCCAACTCTGATTGTCAGTCTTTGTGTCTTCAATACTGTCAACAATAGAAGATACGAAAAGAAAATGATCTTTTCAGAAATTTCTTGGAATTCAGCAATAGAAATAAAACTATTATTGAAAAGTTCTCAAAAATTTGTGCATTCTATTAAAAAAATAGCTTTGCAACAATTAATGTTAAACAATTTTCAAATGACTTTTTCTCTTTGAATACTATATTTAGACAATTTGACGATGAAAAGTCGATTCTGATACAAAATAAATATCATATTCGAAATCATCATAGCAAATTACATTGAATACCTTAGAGTCAGAGAAGATAATTATGCCGGATAGGAAAACGGTATCTTCAGGGACAGTTTTACTTTTTTGGAGTAGAACAAAGATTTCTCTATCAATTGATATTCAATTGATTGAAAAATATTCATTAGATATATTTTATAATAAGAGTGATTATAGCATCATCGAATTCTTCTCTGATGTTTTTTA